ATGGAAAGGCTGGATATTGAGAGGAGTATGGTAAAGGTAAGCGTGTCGCTGGCTAAAAGAGCAGGACATGGATTGGCCGGTAAGCCGAGGTAAGCGTGCTCGGGTGAAAGCGAAGGCTTGAGCCGAGCATGGAAAGGCATGGATATTGAGAGGAGTATGGTAAAGGTAAGCGTGTCGCTGGCTAAAAGAGCAGGACATGGATTGGCCGGTAAGCCGAGGTAAGCGTGCTCGGGTGAAAGCGAAGGCTTGAGCCGAGCATGGAAAGGCATGGAGGTTTGTGTCCAAGCTGGGCGACCAGCGGAATGTGGTCAGCCTGGTTCTTACTATGGATTCTTTAGTAGGCTCAAGGGCCGGGAGGGAGGGGGAGAGTTCCACCTCCAAGACTCGGCCTTTGCGCGGCGACACAATAATAAAAATGGCATTTTCGGGAAGTGAGAGACAAAATCCTCTCTCTTAAATCCGTACTTTCTCTTAAATAAGTTCTCTTAAACCGTAGCCGCTACTGCTGTACTGCAAAAGACGCCCTGCTATGCCAGTCTGAAAGCTGTGCACTGCTGTGCACAGTGCAGCAGACTATATTGTTGGGATTTCGATGAACTGCGCGAGAGAAGCTCTCGTTCGGAACATGTACGTATTGTAGACCGTCCCCTCTCTTAGCCAATGCGCTTGCCGCGTTCCCGCCGGCGCGAACGCACGTGGATGTTGGGATACAGCAGTACTCGTCTTTTTTGCTGCTCGCAGATTTGGAAAGACAGCGTGGACACGAAGAGCGTAGCTACATGCTCACACAGAGCGTTTGTCCGTAATTGAAAGGGAAAATAAATAGTACAGCTGGCCGTGGCATTCTTTCCAGATGGCATGAACACCTGGGCACGCCTCGACCAAAAGGAAGTGTACCGAGTACCCAAAGCAAGCGCAAGGTGCAGAGAACAAATCGGGAACTCAACTCACCGACGAAAGGAATTAAACGGGTCGCAGGGGCGAGTGCGGTATTCCGCTTGCAGTATCACCCTCCTCTCGTTTTTAATGCCACCACTCCAAGACTTTGAACCCAGGGCTCCCGTAACTTCCCTCGTTGTTTGACCCCGTCCCAAGATGCCTCTGTCTTGTGCGGAGGAATCAAAGGCGACACCCCAGCATCAACTGGCGGGATGCAGGATGCCATCTGCGAGCCCCCTTGCTCCTTCCATATCGTCTTCCCCGTCCTGTCCTCGCTGCAAAGTATGCGTGTGCGTGTGCGTGTGCGTGTGCGTGTGGCGGAAGGTAGAAGGTGTGGACTGGTTGCTCGCGCCGCGTGGTTGAGGTTGTAAGGACCTTTCTTCAACAGCACCAGCACCAGCACCAGCACCAGCAGACAGCAGCACATGATGACTGTGCCTTAGATGTTGAATCCCCCCGCATGTCTGGGGGTCGATCCACCAACTCACCAACGGCGACGGGCCACCTCTGCAGCCGTGCTTGCTGTGCACAATCGCGGTGCATCCGAAGCACAGAGAGCTTCGGGAATCTCGGTGATTTCTGTCGATTTTAGCGCGACGATGATGATGAGCGACAGCAGGGCGACAGCAGGGCGACAGGACAGAGGTGAGTAGCGTCAGCTGCATTGCCTACACCACCTCTATTTACCGCTGTCACTACTGGTTATGCTACACGATGGTGGATGGGTGATAGTCCCCCCCTGCGCAGCTAGCTACCATCCGGAGAGAGGAGAAACTTGGGACAACGTTGTCGCAACCCAATGAATAATGAATTGCTGTGCAGGGCCATAAGTTCAAGTATACATGCGCCGCCGCATGTTCTCGATAAGGATGCCCAAAGCTTTTCGTTTTACAGGTTGAGGAGGTTTCATGTAACTGTTCGACAAAACGAAAAACTGCAAGTACGATCTTCCGCAAGGTTATGCACTGCTGTAAAGACTTCTACACATCCCGTTCGACTGTGGTCATATCTCGAATGGGTGGTTTTTCTGTGTATTTATGTTTCCTAATACGTTAGCCTTCGTGTAGCTGCCGTTCGGAATAACAACGACACGTTGTCAAAGCTTCCCCGATCCATCCTTGTACAAGGGTTCGCAAATTCGAAGTTGAATTACACGTGCGTAGCCGGAACAAACCGGCGAGTTTTGCGGGTTCACCATCACGCGGCTGTTTCCGTGGGACCGGAGCCGTTTGAGGATCCCGCTTTTGCAGCTGCTGTTGCGGTGGAACCAGCGCGATAACCTGTCCCGCCCGCCGCACAATCCCGTCACGTATTGTAGATGTTCTCGTTTCGCGCTTCCGCCTGCTTCACACTTTGTATGCTCTATTGTGCGGTATTCGACCCCGAAAAGCTCCCTCCGTCGTAACGTGGTGCTGCTATAGCGACGCCCACGTCTGCTCCCACGCGTGCAATCTAGTCTTGTGAAATTGGTCCCCAGCAAAGGAGGATGACGGATAGAAAGGAACATGTTTCTTGCGTCCCAAAGTGGGTATTTTCATCAGGTTGGCGCTTTGGCGTGCAACAAGCAAGGCACAACGGCGCACCAACGAGGACCACCTTCAATTGATCAGCAACAATATTCGCGCCGAGAACGAAAATCATCTATCGTATACGACACAAGATGACACACACCCTGGACCGATATTCAAAGCTCGATTACTCCACGACGAAGAGGGTGCACAAACGAAACGATACGTTTTCCGAGAGGTCTCGACCAGACGGCTTCAACGCCGCCGTTTTCGACACTTGCTCCTGTTGAGAAATCGAGCTTTGAAATTCGGCCCAGGAGGTGTGTTATCTTGTGTCGTATACGGTACTGCTTGTTCTTGACAGGAACTCAATGGAGCACCTGAGTAACATATGAAGTTGATGCCATGCACATGTCATAATTGTTCAATTGTTGAGTTTTTTCTCATGCCGAAGCACAGACAGCCGATGTCCCGCCTCTCCAACACCAATGGTGCGAGATACTGTCACCTCCACATGAGAAACCCCGACCGCTATGGTGATGCCTCCTGCCCCCCCCTCCCCGCCCGTACAGGAGCTGTAGTGGATGTGGGCCTTCTATTGGAACGAGAGTGACCAGTGCGCCTCCAAACTTTCCGACCCTCCACGACACTTCCACCTCCCTTGGACACCAGCTCCACCGGGAGGTGGGCAGGATGGGAGGTGCACCTGAAGACCTTTCGTCCACCGCAGGGCGCGGCACAGGCGTTGGTAATCAGGGCGGCGGTGGCGGCCACAACAGCAGCAGCAGTGGCGCCGGCGGCGACGGCCCTCGAGTTACCACGACGACTACGACGACTCTCCGGGATGACCCAGACCTCAGTACAGCACGGATCTCGTTTCGACTGGCGGTGTGCTGCGTCCGATCCCTCAGGTCTGAATGGGTTGGGCTGTCTGTTGAGTATCTTCTCTTGAGGAGATTGGACGGTAATAGGGTACAGCCTCCACGTGACGGGTGTGCCTGTGAGAAGGAGGTACAATAGTTGTGTGTGTGCAAGGGTGCACAAAAAACAAATTCCGACACCTAACCCCCAAAACGTTTTTTTGGGCCCCTCCGGGGGGGGGGGGGGG